CGAGCACTTGAAGCTGAAGAACGGATTGAAGAAAACAGAAAAGCAGCTCGAGCAGCAGAAGAAAAAGAATTAAAAGAAAGAGTAGGAAGAGAAGAAGAAGCTAGAGCTAAAGAAACATGGAAAGTAAGAGCATTAGAAGCAGAGAATGCATCAACAAAAGCAAATGAAAATAAGAAAAAGTTTGAAACATTAATATCTTCTCAAGAGAAACGTATTCAAGAACTTGAAGCAATTTTAGAAAGTGATAAAACTCAAATTGAACAAATACAAAGAGATCTTGAAAAAGAAAAACAAAAAGAAAAGACAGTAATTATTAAACAAGAAGAACAACAAAAAGATTTTGAAGGACTTAAAGAGTTAGAAGTACTTGGAGCTAAAATTGGTGAATTACAAATGGAAAAACGAATTGTTGTTGAAGAAAATAAAGAATTAAAAGAACAAGTTAGTAAATTATCTGAACAATTAAATGTATGGAAGAGTGAAACAGTTAAAAATTATATTTTATATTTTGGAAGTGTAAAAAGTAATGAACAATTAGAAAAAGAAAAACAAGAACAAACTAAAAGAGCAAGTTTTATGAATTATTTATGGAGGGGATATTCAGTTGATGGATTACCACAAAATGTATCACAAGATTTATCAACAAAAATGCATCGAGTATTAGAAGAAACATTATATCAAAATGTTAAACAACGTTTGTTAATTTTATATTCTTTTTATTAAAAAAAAAATAAAAATTATTCTAAATAAATAATTTATTAATTTTAATTAGAAGATGAAATTGATGCATTAAAGAAAGAATTAAATAATCAATCAACACAAATTGTTCATTTAAATGATAAACTTACTGAAATAGAAAAACAAAAAATTATAAATCCTAATTCACAAGAAATAATTGTTACAGAAGAAATATCAAAAAATCCATCAGAAACTATAAAATTAAATCAAGTAGTTGCACCTGAACTTCCACCAAAATCAAGTAATCCATATTTTCCTAAAAGTAAAATAAGAAAAGATGATTAGATTAAATAATAAAATTTATTTTAATTTACATATAAAAAAAAAGGAATAAATTAATTAATATTTTTATATTTTAAAAGTTATACAATCAATTAGAAGTTAATATGAATTAATTCCTACTGAAGATGATTCAAATTCATTTTGCATTATTTCTATTTCATGAATAACATCATCCATTGCTTGTTCTAATGCTTGTTTAGGAGTTATTGTAGTATCTGTTCTAATAGTCATTTCAATAATATAATTTAATGGATGAGGTTGTCTATATCCTGCAAATAATACATGAGGATTTCTTAATAACATAACACGAAGAATGTTTCCAGCTGTATGATCTTCTTTAACAAAAGTAAATTTACAAACATGACCATTTTCTTCACATAAAATTTTTTGTTCATTTGGTTTCATAACATAAATTTCATTTAAGTCTGGTGCGTTCATATTCTCTTTTCATTTTTTTTTAAGATTTTAATTTTATTTTTTATTATTTTTTATTATTTTAAATTCTTATAATTATAATAAATTTATTATAATATATATTAAATTTCTTTA